TGAACCATACTGGCAAAGGCGAAAAACATGGTGTTCTGTTCTTCAACACTGGTGGACCTGGTGCCTCTGGAGCCGTCACCGTCGCTGGATCACCATACGTCCCGGCGATCTCTTTCTCGGATGAGCTTCGTGATACCTACTATATCATCGGTCTCGATCCCCGTGGTGTTGGTGTAAGCAGTCCTGTAAAATGCGATCCCAAGGCCTTCAATAAACGGGTCAAGACTTTCGTCACTACAGATGAAGAATACGATGCGCTGTTCAACTACAGTCGAAGCGTGGGTGAGAGCTGTGCCAATCTCACTGGTCCTCTTATCAAACATCTCGACTCTGTCCATGTTGCAAAGGACCATGAAGTCGTACGCAAAGCTCTTGGCCTTGAAAAATTCAACTACCTCGGCCTCTCATACGGTACACTCCTCGGGGCAACATATGCATCTCTATTCCCAAAATCAGTGGGCCGCATGGCTCTCGACGCAAACGTGGACCACTCCCAGTCCGAGATAGCAACCCTCCTCGCTGAAGCTACCGCCTACGAGACTGTCCTCGACCAATTCTTCAAATGGTGCGATAAGAACTCAACATGCGCTCTTCACGGGAAGAACGCCAGCCGCATCTGGGATGAAACTCTCGCTCGCGCTGATTCTAAGGCCATTCCTGCACCTGGCTGCAACGGGACATGTCGCTCTGACGTGACCGGTGAAGAAATTCGATACAATGCACAAGAGCTTCTTACCTTTGTTGATCTGGACTTTGGCTCTGGGTCTACGTGGGCTGCTCTCGGAGACGCTATTCTTCAAGCTAGCAAGGGTAACGCCACTGCGCTGTCGACTTCAACTCCCAGTGGTAAAGTCGTCAATGATCCCAGCGGTTCCCCATATAGTTACCTTGCCATCGGATGTCAAGATTGGTTGCACAAGTCCAAGACTTCCGTGGACTTGCGCCAGAAGCTCATCAACGCTGTCACATTCGCGCCAAGAACAAGGGGTGCCACACAGACGTATTACTATGAGAGTACATGCATCGGTTGGCCTGCACCGTTGACGAATCCACAGGGGCCTTTGGCAGATGGTATCAAGGATGCTCCTACTATTCTGATCGCGGCTTCGGTGTACGATCCTGAGACCAGTATTACCTGGGCCGAGGGGGTGAGAGAGCAGTTGACGAATAGAGTGAGCATTACGAGGAATGGAGCTGGACACACGAGTCACTATCTTGGAGGTGATACTAGTAAGGCTATGGATAGGTATTTGGCCACTGGAAAGCTGCCTAGAGATGGCACAGTCTACAGGACTTGAGTTTCAGGCGATGTCTGAAGAACTTTGACGCGTTGGTCGGATGTTGTTAACGATGAATCCGGGGTGACTGAATGTATTTAATTATGGCATCTCTTCAGCTTCATACTTCTACATATCTACCGTGATACACAAACACATGCGGCAACTACATGACGGCTAAGATCAGCAAGGTCCAGCTCATGCTATTGTGGATTCTTTCAAGACGCAAGTGCCTCTACTTGGGCCTGCTGCTATTAATAGCATCGAAGACTGCATGCCTCCGCGACGTACGTATCTCGTTAGTCAAACAGCCCCCAGACAAACTGGGCTAACCTGGGGGTACCCTGCCTGCATCAGATCGCCCATCTAGCTCCTTAGTTCAGCCCTACAAAGTACAGACTGGCGTCATCCTCATGCAGCGCTACAGTGAGCTCTCAAAAGGCCGTCAAGCAAATGCTTCACTTCATCGCCACGGTCGTACCCTTCAACGGAGCAGCAAAGCACCGAGCCGAGGTTCGTAGCACAAAGAAAATCCTTCGCAATCTCTTTACTTCCAATCTCCGAGCGCATTTCAAAGCACGTAGCACATCTTTGTAATGGAACCAGAAAATCTCAATCCGTGTAACACAGGATCCACAGTCCGGCCTCGGTATCCCACCAACTCCGAGAAAAGCGGGTTTCAACTTTCCGCCTGCGCCGATCTGATTACGTGAGCCGCTGATGCGATCGCGTCGCACAAAGAGGAAAGAGCTTCAGTTATAAGTCGAGAGGGTTGCCCCGAGCCATTCCCTATACAGCCCCACTCCTCAGATATCATCTTACACACCATCAATATGACAAAGTTCAAAGTTACTGTCACTTCCGACACCGTCTGCCCCTGGTGCTATGTCGGTCGCAGACAGCTCCAGGCTGCGCAGCGCCTGTGGGAACAGAAGTACCCCGACTCAAACGACACTTTCGACATCAGCTACAAGCCTTTCCAGCTGGCGCCCGATTGGGCCCGAGGTCCTGCGTCGAGCATCTCCAAGGAAAAGTTCTACCTCGAGAAGTTTGGAAGAGACCGTGTGGTCAAGATGCAACAGCATTTGAAGGGTGTCGGAGAGTCCCTCGGAATCGACTTCAAGTTCGGGGGACAGACAGGAAACTCGAGGGACTCGCACCGACTGGTCCAGCTTGCCAAGAAGCACGGCCAGGATGCCGAGAGCAAGGCGCTCGATGGCCTTTTCGCTGCGTACTTCGAGAAGAACGACGACATTACCAGCTACGACACCTTGAGAAACGTGGCTGTCGAGGCGGGAATCCCCGAGGATGAGTTCCAGAAGGCTATTGTCGAGAGCGACGAGGGTGGCCCAGAGGTTGACAAGCTTGCGGGCGAGGCACGATACAGTGGTGTCAGTGGCGTGCCCGACTTTGTTCTTCAGGACCGGTTCCGACTCCATGGCGCCAATGATCCATCGACATTTGTCAGCGTTTGGGAGAAGATCAAGGCGGCTGAGCTGTAGTCGATTTGATCGTTGAGGGCGATCAGATCAATCGCTTAGGGTGGTCAGATTGAAACAAGACTTCTGTGCGCTTCTCGAGAACATCGTTCCAGAGGTGTTGACCCTGAAAGCCAGGGACATAGAATAGTAATCCGATTTCCTGACTCGTCCACCAACTTGCCCTGTCCATATTGCCTGAACCTAGCACTAGATACTCGTCGTCAACGAGAGTCATCTTGAAATGACTGACGACGGGTTCATCTTCTTGGTCGCGTCTAGCGTCGAGTTGCTTGTAGTAGAAGATCTCCAGCTTGCCGGGCGCAGGCGATTGCGCTTCAGGATCAGATGATCGTGGCTGATTGACAAGAGCATTGTATCTCTGAATAAACTTGCGCAAACACCAGGATGTCGTTGTGCCAGCCGTGACTAGCTGCTCGATCAGCATCATACCCTTGCTGGTTCTGATCTGAACATCGACTCCCCGTGCGAGCGCATCCAATAGACTCTCCACAACAGGCCACGAGGTGACATTGGGAGTGAGAATGGTGATGCGTCGCTGTGCGTTGCTGAACAGTGTAAGTAGTGCTGCATTCAGGGGAGTCATCGGTGGATTTGTCTGCGACAGAAATGGGAAGAAGGAAAACCGAGGGTTCCGATGATGCGGTGAAGGGAGAAAGATGGTCGGAACTGGGCCACTGGCAGGGAAGTCAATCGACTGCGTTGCCGATGTTTCACTGTTGGCTTGTAGTCGATCTGGTGCTCTTTGATCGATTTGCGAATCTTCTTGCGACTCAAATGGTCGTGGAGGTTCATCGTTGTGACCCCAAACGCGACCATAAAAGGCCAAGAGACGGTCGACAATGGCACCCTCGACCTCAACGCAACCTTCGAACCATCGCTCCCAGCTGACGTTACAGCTTGGGACCCAGGCCCTCTTTCCGTCGACGATCACAAACTTTGGGTGCATAACGCTTAGTGGTGTGAAAAAGATGCTCTTGACCGTAAGGTCGATATTGGCATTCTGTAGCAGTTGCTGGTCGAGCAGACCCAGCTTAGGCCATTTCGACGGCTCATAGATATATCCCTCTCGCGATACAGGATGAAAGAGTTTCTGGAATAGTCCAAATGATGAGAAGCCTATTGTAATCCGTAGAGGCTCTTTGACGTTGGCTTCGATACGCGCCGTCGCAAGCTTCTCGAATGTGTCGCGGATGGCATCCAGAGACGGTGAAGCAGCCCAGTAACAGGTGATCAATTGAACCGAGTGCTGTGCGCTGAGAATTGCTGGTAGGAGAGCGCGCGTGTATATGGAGTGGCCTGTTCCAACGTATAATGTCTTGGGTGAGCTGGTCGTGATGAGGGAGTCGATATTATTGACGTAGTAGCTTGGAAAGTCATCTTCTTGCTCGTCGCGTCGCGATTGGAGCAGCTCTTTCCATGGTCGGACAAAAGATTGCGGGAACTCTGTCGCGTCTGTCATTATAATTACTTTTTATTAAAAGATGGAGTTAATTATATTGTGTTAAGGTTGAGCTATAAACGGGGAGAGGTGAAGATGAGGTGAGGAGGTTGACGGCCAGTACCTGTTCGGGATGTAAGAAACCTCAGGGCCTCAATCATAGATGACAAAAGTATTTAAGCAGTTTAGCTAAAGTTTAGGTGAATCTTTGCTAGGTTTATTTTGGCATCCTGGTCTAAAGTCTTATGTTCCCTTGGGCGGCGCAGCTTATGGATGACGCGGAGAGCTTTGGCGATGCCAAGTAATCTACTTTATACAAGGTTGTGGAATCCGGGTGAATTATCCAGTAGAGCTACATCCAAGGCACAGCTTTGATCAAAAGGCGAATGACGGTAGCTAACCAAGATGTAATTATTGTGTAAAGCCAACGGTTCAAACAAAGTTGAGGCGCTGTTCCGCAACTTTCAGTGGGCTCATTCACCAGTTCATCAATGGGATACAGCGGGTCAATCAATGCGCAGCAAACACACGCCAACGGCGACAAACAGCGCAATAAAGATGAAATCAATTGAAATAAACAAAATGCATCATTAAGCAAACGACGCTGTATCTCACATTCAATTGACACTCATCTCAATGAACCGCGGCTTTAGTAATCTCCACGACTCGCTCACCGCCTTCAAGCTTCCCCGGCAGAATCCCCCACCACGGCACCTCCTATCTTCCCATGGCGCTCCAACAGACTTTCCATCACCCCAACCCCAACACCTTCAAATCGCGACCATGTTGTCAGGCGTTCTGGTCTTCAACCAAAAGGGCGAGAACCTTATCTTCCGCGCCTTCCGGAACAACTGTCGTCCTCGCCTCGCCGACGTCTTTCGCATCCAGGTCATCTCCAACGCCCAAGTTCGATCGCCAATCCTCACCCTCGGAAGCACAACGTTCAGCCATGTCAAGCATGAGAACATCTACCTCGTCGCCATCACAAAGAGCAATGCCAATGCCGCTCTTGTGTTTGAGTTCCTCTACAGGCTGATTCAGCTGGGCAAGGGTTACTTTGGCAAGTTTGATGAGGAGGCTGTCAAGAATAACTTTGTCTTGGTATATGAGCTCCTAGACGGTATGTTCTACTACACACACTCTCTATAACAGCGCTGACATTCTTAGAAATTATCGACTTTGGATACCCTCAAAATACAGAAACCGACACCCTCAAGATGTACATCACCACCGAAGGCGTCAAGTCCGAGACCCGCCCCGAAAACACCTCCAAGATCACGATGCAAGCCACCGGAGCCCTCTCCTGGCGCAAGGCAGACGTAAAGTACCGTAAGAATGAGGCTTTCGTCGACGTGATCGAGGACGTCAACCTGCTCATGTCCGCTACCGGCGCTGTCCTGCGCGCAGACGTTACGGGCCAGATTATTATGCGCGCTTACCTTTCCGGCACGCCCGAGTGTAAATTTGGCCTTAACGATCGTCTACTTCTCGATAATGATGGCTTGCTGAGCCTCCCAAGCGGAAATAAGATGGGTACCAAGGCGACAAAGGCAGCAGCTGGTAGTGTCAGTCTTGAGGATTGTCAATTCCACCAGTGTGTCAAGCTGGGTAAATTCGACGCCGACCGTATCATCAGCTTCGTTCCTCCCGACGGTGAATTCGAGCTCATGCGATATCGCGCAACTGAAAACGTCAACCTTCCGTTCAAGGTACACGCCATCGTCAACGAAGTCGGTCGCTCAAAGGTGGAATACAGTATCGGTGTCAAGGCCAACTTCGGCTCCAAGCTCTTCGCCACAAACGTCGTCGTCAAGATCCCCACGCCTCTGAACACCGCAAAGATCACCGAGCGCTGCACACAGGGCAAGGCCAAGTACGAGCCTAGTGAGAACAACATCGTGTGGAAGATCGGTCGCTTCACCGGCCAGAGCGAGTACGTGCTCAGCGCCGAGGCTATTCTGACGAGCATGACGAACCAGCGGGCATGGAGTCGACCGCCGCTGAGCATGAACTTTAGCTTGCTCATGTTTACGAGTTCAGGACTGTTGGTACGATATCTTAAAGTGTTTGAGAAGAGTAATTATTCGAGTGTCAAGTGGGTGCGGTACATGACGAGAGCAGGATCATACGAAATAAGGTGAGTTGTCCTATTCTAAGTGACAAACACAGCTAACAGGACAGATTTTAAATGCATATAAGTGGTAGAACATGTACGGCGTTATGGTATATCCCGGCAAAAGTCGAGCGGGCGGTTTCTTTAGCATCAAACCATTATCCTATTTCTGTCCCTTCGTGATCACTCATCTTCAACTACCAAGACTCTGACACCTTGAAACTTTCCTCTATCTGCGCCCTCTTGTTGACTCTTGATCGCAGTATCGATCAGGCATGCGAAAATGTACGATGGATGTTCCTCTTCCCATCCCAGCGCCGAAAGGTTCCGCGCTTCGACGTAGCGTCTCGAGACTGCATGCACGATATCTCCCGGTCTCTCCTGATCTTTCGTATCCTTCGTCCGCAGACCTTTCCAGAGAGCATCTGGCGTTCGTATCTCACTCATCTTGACGTTCTGTCTACCACACTGCTTACACCTCCCCGTGCACTCATCCACGAGGTACAACACCTCCAGACCCTTCTGGATCGTACAAGCGAAGAATGCAACCTCTTCAAGCCCTAGCTCGCCGTACAACCCTGTCGCCCACGTTTCGGAAACGTCGATTGCGACCTTCTTCGCATTCTGTAATGCCGTGGCTATTTCCGGTGACCATTGGTTCTCGAGGATGTCTTTGATTGGCGGTGGTACGAGGAGTGTTTCCGTAGCGAGGTCGTTGTGGTCGGTCGGCTCCTCTCGGAAGCGAAGCATGAGGATGTCGGATGCAGGGATGGAGACCTTTTGGGCTCTGCCGGGGAGATGGATCTCGTTCATAGCCTGTCTTGCCTCTATCTCTCTGACGGTTTGTTCGGCGAGACGACTGATCAGTCTTGATGTGGCTGTTGCGTGGTACACACTTGGGTCAAATGCAGCTTTCGGCCTGACATTCTCCAGACGGTCGAGAAATACCATCTTTTTGTAGTTATTGAGCTTGGCTTCTCCTGTCTTGTCCTTCCTCAGCGTCTCGAAAGCTCTTTCAGCGCGTTCATCGCCCTTCCATGATGGAAAACAGACGTCAAAGATGTGCATAGCTGGTCCGGGATGCGTGTAAGTCTGCCATATCTTCATCTGCAACTCCAGCGGGAGATTCCCAAAGTGTTTGAAAGCCATTCCGACGCACAACTATGCAAAGCTTGCGGGGAGCAATTGTCTACATTCATGCGATATAAGAATCTCTCTCTCTATTTGTATTGATCGGTGTTCTGACCACCAACCGGTATATATCACGTCAGCCAGTATCAGCGCTAACAGAGTAAATGATATGAATGGGCAGAAATGTGTCAAGGCTGATCTGAGATTTTGAGTCTCGACAAATGAAGCCTCTTAAATGCAACTACTGAACGAAAAGTATTACGTGTGCCGAGGATATTTGTGTTTGGTACCCTACACACCAAGACTGCGGGATGTTGGATCGTGAGATGAGATGTCAGCAACTTCAATCTTATCAGCGCTTACGGCCAAGTGTGTTGGCGACACGTATTTGTATTTTTTCGCTCTTATCTATACAGTTACCACAACATAGGCAATACCGTCAAGGTTTGAGGAACCCGGGAATGTCGCAGCAGCCTCGATCCCTGTCACTCCTCTCCTGAGTGATCAAGCTACGTTCCTCTCCTTCAAGTGACCCAGTCTGTCCTCGTCGTGCTTCGAACGTCGTGCGAGTCGCCCAGCCATGTCTACTGCGATGTGAAGGTGCAGCTGGGATCGATACAGCCTACGAGCGATGGTTCTGCGAAGTGTCTACCTCCAAGTCCTTGAAAGCTACCGAGGCCATCGACAGACCTAAACTGGACCTGTATGTTCCCCCGGATCTTGTTCTTGGTGTTACGGCTACCTTGATCATCTCTTGTCTATGATCCCTCCTCACAACCCTCTTGTCCAGCGAGGATATCTTTGGTCCCAGGTCAAGGCGGCACCCCTATACAGTCGTTCGTGAGTTCCATCTAGATCCTCAGAATCGGTGAGGTTCATTTTAAGCCAATTGACCAAGAGTTGGAAGTAGATGAGTGACTGTTAGCAACAGTCAGGGGATCGCGTGTCTCTGGCTTGTCAGTATGTAACAAAAGAGACGACGCATGAGTGTTGATAACACCTTCCTGATCTGGTTCGTCAATGTCTCAGGAATCCGGATGTGTTGGCCAAGATAGATGACGCGAGGTCTGTAGAATCGATGAGTTGTTGAATACGTATGTAACTTGCCAAATACATCACTCATATAGCACCGAGGACCATGAGCCTGTGTGTTTGATCTTGTGTTCTATCTTTCTTCAGCTCTGCTAGCTGTCAAGGCCAGATGAGCCGCTTCCAGTCAGTGTCCCTACCTCGAATGAAAACAAACTTGCGGACAAGTTCTATTAGCTTCCAAGGAACGAAAAAGATATCGGGAGGCACAGCCGTACTTCTCCCTCATTGGAACGGCAGTTACAGAATATCCTTGTCTTGATGATCAGACTTCGCTTGGACGTCCCCGGGGAGCCGGAGGTGGGAGCCGGTGGACTCCGGTGGGAGGGTGCCGCGGAACGTCGCTCTTAGTAGCATAGAATGCGATAATACCCTTGCTTGGTGAATAAATATCTCTTGCGGCGCTGTTGAGGAGGTATATTTCACTGATGTTTGAGCTTGTGCGAGGATGTAGTGTTGAGTCAACATGTTGAAACGTGATCGGAGGAACTCAGCCATTGGCGAACATCAGATCATTCCTCGGAACCTCGAGTGTCCTCAGATAACTAATCACGATCCTACGTTCCTCGGAATCGCGTGGTTGATGTTCTAGAATTGCGGTTGTGTATCGTGGCCATGAGGCTGGATGTGATACAGACGGTAGCAATATTCAGCCTCAGCAACTAGCTCTGCGTCCTTAATCCAACTCGCTCAAAAGGAATATCCACTGATCATCGATACTCTCTATACCTTCCTCTTTAATTCATTGCGTAATCGACCGGTAGCCATTCACATAGACCTCCTAGTTAGGACTACACTTCTGAACTCCGTTCTAGGCCAGACACTTGCCAAGGCAGACGTCATAACTCACCCAACTCCATTTTAATATACTCCGACGGATATTTAGTCTCGATATATAAGCGCTGACTAGTTAACACATCTATCTATCTGCCAAACAGCTCCCCACCCTCAAGCCAATATCTCCCAGCTGCGGAATTGACCACACACCTATATCGAGATTCGATCTGCTTGATTGGCCCTGTCCCCGACTGTAAACCCACGCTGATCCAGAAATTCCCGTGCCCAACCAATATGGTCAGGGCAACACAACCACGAGAAAGCCATGTGTTTAGTGAGACCTGAGTAAGCCCCCCCAAGAGCATCTGGGTCTTGCTAGTTCCGCCCAGAGCTAGAGAGCACTTTGGTCTACGGGTTTACATAAATCTTGCATTTCCGCGGCATATAGTTACATCGGCTGTTGGTATTGACCGCCAAGAACGATACCACTGCGAAATAATATTAAAAAGGTTGATGGGGGAGCAATTGCTCCTGGTGGCCGAGAAAATGTTAAACGCCACGAGATTTCCACGAGGATCACCTTGTGAAACTAGCCAATTTAATTTAATTTACCTTAGTTAACTTAGTGGTCGTGTCACTCTTGGGCATCAATGGGGTCATTTTCCTCTGATAGAGTTGATCACTCCTATTTGCGGAAAACCCTCGCGTCTAACTTCAACGCCGAACAACTGGGCCATTAGTTAGGCTGGGACCTCGCTTACAGCCTCTTGGATTAAGATTCGTCGCACCATGACTGTTTAAGCAATGTTCCACCGTTCGCGGGAGGGCTTTCGGTCTGGTCTAATTGGTCCTGCTGGTCAGTGCTGAAAAAAAGCGGCATGCCTCCTTCAGCCCTATGGGATGGTATCTTGTATAAGCGACGGTCGGGACCTGCAGTTGGCCTGGCTCGTGATACGATTGAGGAAAGCATAAAGAGGCCCGTCCTCTCGTCCCAGTTTGAATTTGAGTTTGTCCGGGGTTGAGTGTTGTTAGACATTAAGTGGTTCATCAATCAGTCCACTGTTTGCACGTGTTGATAGCAGTCCGTCCTTGGCCGTGTCTCTTATACAAAAGACTTCCATCTTCTTCAATGGATGGCCTTCCGTCACGCTCTTCTATTATTACTCATCTGGTGGAAACACTACTGGTCACATCGATCACGCATACATCTCGTCTAGGCCTGCATATCCTTTCTGTCCTGACCAATAACGACCTACATAGACTGTGATATTATTCACCAGCACCTCGCTCCCAAGTCCAGCCTGATCCTGCTCTGCTCTGCTCTACAGATCACGTCACCTTGCTTCTTCCATCAACACTCTCACCTCCCGATCACGCAGTCAGATCCCTTCTACTCGATCGTATTCCCAGCAGCTGAAGCGCCCTCCCGAGACATACATGTGTACCACAGCAATGTGTATCGCCCACTACCTCCACTACCACCATGTGCCCCCTTGTTACCGCCCAACTGGCCTGAACTACTACTACTCGTATTGCGCTGCTGCTTACTACGATCCCGTCACCAGCCGGCCCCTCGCACCATGTGGCAGCGTCTCGACCAGCTCTCCCCGGGGAGACCCCAGCGACCCATGTACTATGAGCCAGTGTCTAATTGATCCAGACTGTCGCTCTGGAGCATGTCGTCTCGCTGATCTTAACGGGCAGTGGAAGTGCTGCATGTGTGGAAGACGGGAGAACTTTGGTTACCAGTGCTACAATGCTCGATCTGCAGATGTAAGGATGTACTGCACGCACCAGGTTTGCGAGAACTGCACAGCCGACGAAACTTGAAGAGGCGAGACCTTGAGGCCGAAGAATATCGGCCTCCTCATGGGATTTGAGTTGCAGCTGATGTCTCAGCTGCATATAGTCCGACGCTGTGGACGTCTGCAGGTGTAGCTCAAGCAGCCACATGTGCGGATTTATGCAGGCTACACCTCATGGCGTTTCCATTCCGGCAGGTCTATAATTATCACATTTATTGTTGGTTTTTTGGCTTGCTGACTACATGCAGATTTGATCGTCACGTCGCCAATCTCGGTGATTCACGACAGAGGAGGCATCGACGAACTTCTGCAGAAGAGAAGATCATGGGATCGAAGAGACGGCCGAGTAACACTTTCGGCACGAGTATCAATAACCGATTGAGGTTTCACAGTACGGTACATTCCGAGGCCGCCTTGTCATGATATGACTGAGGAGATCCTTTCTCCTCTTACGATATATCACAAACTCGCGGTCATGGTGGAATCACACTCGTCAGCTATACTACAACCCCAAGCCGACTTGCCATACATAGTTCCGAGCTCCTAACTCCGCCCCCCTGGCACCGATACTCATGAGTCCTTTGAAATTTTGCAGCCATGTCCGCCCTCGGGTTCTATCGCGGTTGGAGTTGCGTTGGTGGCATCTTGATGAAAGGGTAAGGAGAGCCGGTTGAGAAATAGATCGGGAAAAGCTGGAAGATATTAGGGATACATAAAAACCCATGATCTCTTGAGCTTTTTCTTCTGCTGCGAGATGCGAGAACGAGTTCGCCATCACAACACAGCAATGTCAACAGCTACATGTCCAAGTCGAAAACTCGTACAGAAACTCAAGCATCATGTGCCATCGAATCACTTTCCGTCTCGCATGCGAGCATGTCTCAACACACATAAGTTACTGTCCAGTCGGCCTCTCTCACCGCCGCCCCTGCAGCAACACGACCAAGCAGACCATCCCATACCCTCCGCCGTCGGGCTACACGCTGCCCAAGTGTCCACTCGCCGACTGCCCCTTTGAGGCCAAGAACCAGGCCTGGGACTGCTGCTGGTGCGGCAAGACGTGGAATGTTGGTGGGCGGTGCAGTTGTGTCATGATTGGCGAGGGGGGCACGTATCGGTGCGAGCATATCTGCTGCAAGTCGTGTATTGCCTCTCGAGATTATTTCTCCTAACTTGGTATGTCATGCGAGGAGGAAGATACCCTTGGGATGGTGAACCATGAGTCGTTTCCGGAGCAAGGTCTTTTCTTTGGAGAATAGTTGTCAACACGTTTACCACTCTGCTCTCATAGCTCCGCCCAAGTGAGACTTTCTGTCATGTTCACATCACGATCTCCTCCACGATGCCCCTTTGGCTCCCATCCTCAAGTCAACAGGCATCATCCCAGTAAATCAGTTCATATCCGCATCAACGCGGAGACTTGCCTCGTGACCATTGGCTTCTCGTCAAGTCCTCCCGAGGCTGACATGTTCTGTTTCACCAGATCATGTCTGCCTGCATTAGACCACCAGGGGTCTAAATCGAGATGTGAACAGGGACGGGTGGGATGCCTCGATCGCGCTAGGTTGGTAGAAACACAAGATCCTGTGCCTTTGTATGGGTTGTAGGTGTGAATGTGCTCCCCCGTCGACCGAGTACTTGGTGCCAAGGTCTCCCAGCCAGACCAGCCTCATCTATTACCAATAGATATCTGGCACACTCGACCATCGTGCTCTTACACCAATGCCGTCGTCACTCTCATCCACACCAGATCAGTAATCGTAAAGCCCGAGTACCGGGTTTATCACATCTCATCACCATCGATCTCACAATCTCAATGCTGTACGATCACACTATTCCCCTCTACGACAGCCTCGTCACCAGGCTTCTACCTGTGGCGTCCTATAAATGGCCTCGAGCCCCGTTACACAAGACCCCATCAGACCACACCCCGAGACATTGGGCCATGAAATTTTTCATGTCTCTGCCTCATCGGAGACTTGATCATGGAAATGCAACGCACACTCCCGATGATGCTGCACTCGAGGACACGATCGATGGGGCTGGCGCTGCTGCAGACGCCTCAACCCAGAGCGTGAAAATTGTATGGATGGACTCGAGATGTGCATCTCTTGGTCTCTGAGTATGAGAATTGCTTCGCTGATGGGGAGGAACTAGGCCTGCGGTTCCAAAGAGGTCGATCTGTCTAGTCAGTCTGGTCCGTTGGCGTATAAATAGGCCCCAAGATGAAGCTATCAGACCAGGGGGAAATCCCCAGACCAAGTGCTTCTATTCTCAGGAACAAAAGACAGTCACAATGTGTCACGGACATCCTCGACACCATCCCTGCGCCCACTCATCCATCAACTGGCACTACTGCCCGTCGGCGCTCATCGATCTCGAGACGGGCTATGAGACGCCGTGCAGCAACATATCGTTCGCGGCAGCCCAGCCCACGACATCCGACTGCCCGCTCCAGAACTGCGAGTTCAAGAGCAAAGGCGGAAGCTGGACGTGCTGCTCGTGCCAGCAGGGTCCAAACACTCAAGGGTGGTGCACGATGCCCATGAGCAGAATGACCATGAACCCCGAGTCCTTCTCGGTCGAGTCAGTTGAGACAACTTGTGATCACGGCTGTTGCAGCAAGTGTGTTCAGTACGGTAAGTCTCCCTCCCCTGGCCAATATGTGATTCGTGAGTGAGTATAGAACTGACACATTCAGGCTCGAGCAGTGATGCTTCGCCTGAGATGACCTTTTCTGAGATCCGCAAGGGGTCAGCGTCGCGCAAGTTCGGGTACAGCAGCGCCACCAAATCTCATCGTCGCGGATCAGCCTTTTCGCTTCCTGCGTCCGGGGAAGAGTCTACGCCGTCGCCGTCGACGTCAAAGTCGAGTTCCGCAAGCTCGGGATATAAAGTTGGGATGGAGTACACGTCGAGCAAGGCCAAGTCGAGCAAGAAGAGACACAAGAGTAAGCGATGAGTGGTTGTTGATACTGGTATTGGTATTTGTGTGCATCTGGTGGTTGAGTGTCATTGTTTTGCGTTTCTGTATCAGCAGAGCGTCGTGTTCCAGTCCTGACAGCTTATTACAATAGACGTGGGATTCACTCTTTTTATCGCAATCTATCTATCTATCTATCTATCTATCTATCTATATTCTTAACTGTAGCATCAATCACATCATGATGAAGTCAGATATCCATCTCTTACTGTCCCAATCTCAAAGCAATCTCAGCTCCGCTCACACAAAGTCGAATAAACTTTCAGGCCAAGCCACAGCCATGCCCAGATCAGCCCACCCTGCGGCCCGAGATGCGTCCAAGCGAGGGGAAGCTATCGGCTCTTTTTGTCCAGAATAGAATGGCCCTGCCCTGCCCCCTCGGAAGAGCCAAAGGCCACGTGCGAAAGAAGCATCCGGTTCCCGTCCGTCATGCACCGTTTTTTATCGTTCCTGGTGAAGAACTGGACTGAGACGACACGAGGCGAGACAAGGGTTGATGATGATCTGCAAAAGTCTTTTTGGGTTTTGGGCTGAAACATGAGTCGACGGGTCTGGCGATACTAGATTGAGTTGGTATTTGAGGCCTGGCTATCAATACCTAGATAATTAAGTCGGAATCGTCGGTCTTTATGACTTTGGCTTCTCAAGACATGTCGATAAGATACTTCATTCAGCTATGATCGCCGTGTTCAATTCCTCCGTCTTGAAGCATCGTCACTCATATCCACCCGATTATGATGCATGGATAATGAATGTCAACACCAAAATAGTCAACGCCACATCAATCAATCAAGAGTCCTACTACCATCCCGTCCTAAACAAGTGCCATTCATCTAACTTAGTCAACGGCACCTCCGACCACGCCTCAGACCGACCGAGATGAATCTGGATCTCAAATCTTCAACTTGGTAGACTAACGTAAGTCCTCGGATCTCGAACCGACAAACTTTCTTTGCAAGGGGCAGTGAAGATTAAGTCTGACAGTACAACTGTGACGACTGCTCGAGATGCATATTCTGGCGTGTGATATCGGAATGGGCTGCCAGGCAGCAGGCTACAGCAATACGAGATGTGCTATCGTCAGTGAATACCACCCTCCCAAATGTCACAGTCGTAATCCAACAAAACCACGTGTGATATGTATGTATGTATGATCGACATCGCCCATCCCATCCCTTCCCCTTCCCATGTGGAAATGACGAACCAGGCTTGATTATCTCTCTGAAGGCATCGACAACCTCCAAGCCACTCGTCATCGTCATCCAATCCCATCGCGTGGCTTCCACGTGAGCTGGCGTCTGTGATGGATGCATCTAGATCAACACATTCCAGTGCAAGATTGTCCAGATTTCCGTGAGTTACCTACCTATTCTCTTTGGTGTTTTACCTCACGTAGCATTTTACGACCCCCCCCCCCCCCCCTCCCCTGAGGCCCAGGGAAACATTAACCTGGTGGCCACGAGTTCAAATGCAGACCATACATGAGATTTCAGGTGGAGGGTTGGGCCTGGGGTATTCTGTACGACTCCATTCGACCCTTGTGTTTTACAGGGCGGGACCGGTTCCAGGGGCAGTTTCTTCAGTGACTCCATCGTCCGTGGCCTGATCCTTGGATGTTTTGAAACGGCGCTTCAAGTTACCATCGCAGTCTAATAGATGAAAATGAAAAGAGTGTCTGTGTTTTTTGCATCATTTTCATTCGATTCTTCATCATCATGCCATATTTATTTCACTTTCGTCCAGTGCAGTCTAGGCCCCCTCTAAAGGGGAGATCCAACCGCCTAAAAAAACCAACATCCAATTCCCTAGCGTTCTTGTAAGGTACCTCGGGTACCACACCCCCTGTAAGCCTCCCCCCTCCAGCAGCCGCTGAGACTTGTGCCTGGACCTTGTGGTGCCTGTACCTCTTTTCTGCTTTAATCTCCAAATCTCCTCTCTTCTCCCCTCTGGTCCCTCCCCCTTGCCCTTTTTTTCCCTCTCTTTTTTAGATCTGTCTCCATCTTGATTGTCCCTTTCATAATCTGTTTCTTCTTTTCTCAATTTTTGACCCTTTTGAAAGGTAAAAAAAAACGAAGAGTCGTCAAGAGAGGAAAAGAGACACGGACGCTAATATAATCGACGACAAAGCGCAGTCAATTTAAATTAACTTGGTTGCCTTTACCATACATATAGTAGCTCCGTCCCGTCTTTGACTACCTATCAACTATTACGTCTAGCCAGCCCACTTTCTCATCCTCTCTCGGTCTCTCTCTCTCTGGCTTCGTCTCTCTTCTCCTCTTCTTCGAAACCTCATCCCCTCTTACGCGGTTTCATATATCACCTATAGTACCCGCAACCCACCGTCGCATCAAACATCACCATGCCTGCCTCCTTGGACTCTTCCCGGCCCATCATGGCCCCTTCGGTATGTTATGACCGCTCGGATCTTCTTTTCCTTCTGTCTATCTCTCTATTGCGTATGGATTACACCACAGTCCCTTTGTCCCCCCCTGTTCAAAGGCTTGGGACTTGTCCCGTCTAGTTCCGCCTCTAGTTTGGTGTCTGCCCACTTTGAGAGTGATGAGTGATGGGGACGAACGGGCCGGATGAGTAGAGAGAATGGATGCGGATGCAGATGCGGATGCGGATGCTCTCGTCTTGTCACCACTCACTTTGTCAGGCTTGTCTTGTCTTTCAACTGAAATGTGACATCTCTGCCTCTCCGGCCGCTTGGTTCAGCCCATACTACTTTGCTCGTCATCCGTCTTTGTTCGCAGTGCACATCACTTCCACCTTGATACATTCCCCTGTCGCCTCACACGTCCCTCAGCCCAGCATTCTTATTCCTCGTCCGTCGTCTCGTCTCTTTTCCTCTGAAAACTACTTCAACCTCATCCATCTCCCATCATGGCTAAGCCGTGGGTCTCGTCGCACGCTCACACCCAGCCCAACCACAACCGTCAAGCCACCAAGGAAAAGGACCAACCCGCTGACTCTACCTCCAAGAACCGCAACTCGGTCCGCTTCAGCACCTACAGCATGGCTCCTTCGCTGTCTCCCACCGTCGGGACAACCGACTCTGCTCACGCCGAGATCCGCGACATCGCTACCGGCCTCGACCGCATGGAGAACAAGGCTCTCTCCTCCCAGCGCGTCACCCTCACCGACGAGAAGACAGACACCATGAGCAAGCTCGCCCTCGGTGCTAAGCTCGAGCGCGCTCTCGACCGAAGAATGAGCGGCCAAGACGCTGTCATGCGACCTCGTGGCCAGAGCCTCAACGAGAAGCTCAGCGAAAAGGAGTAGACCCAGAAAAAAGAAGAAGAAACAACCCACCAAACCCAACAAACAAAGCAAAATGTCTTGCGAATAAGATACCCCCACACGCAAACGAGAATTCTTCTTTTATTTTTTATTATCGATATAAATCATCTGGTCTTTCTGGTCTTGATTTCCTCAGCAACGCCTTGGTTCTATCACTTTTTCCGCAAAGGAATGAAACACTGCGCCATGATCAACCTCAGGGGGAAATTGGATGGAAATGCGAGCCTCAAACTCAGCCTCATCCCCCCCTAATTATACTCGCGAAGCCCATCAACCCACGGCTCTTTTTTCACGAATACACACGGCATGTGGGAAGAATCTGGACTACGATCAGCTCTTGTGGACTTCATTTTCTTCTCCTTCTTTTCTTTATGTCTCTTTATTCTGCTTTTTACTCTAATGGTATGCTGCGATGGAAATTCATTGGTCAAGATACGCAGGAATGGCAAGCAACGCATGGAGGAAAGTGATCATCAGGGCACGAATAAAGGGAGCTGTTTCGCTTTTTGCCTTATATCGTTTCCCGGGCGCAGCGAGTACGGCGCGGAGGAATTGGAAGTGTATGATTACATTGGATGCATTTGTGATGCCATGTTTTTCACACGAGCTATAGTAAATGCCGACGAGTCGCCAACTCATTATTGTGACTATGTTTCTGTTGTGAAGTAATGGGATGGTATGGGAACAAAAGACTTGGCCAAATGAACCTCGGGGTTTTGTGAGTCCATGAAACGTGTTTGCAGTGATATTAACAAAACTCCTATAGCAACCATTACTGAGCAAAGCATTCCCTTGATGTAAAAGACATTCCACATGCCAGTGTTGCTGGCATCTCTAACTGCGACCCATTCCATCTTGGCCCCAGGTCTCGTAGTCAACTCATGTCTCGGGTGAACTGACAACTCAATCCCACCCCTCTTCATCTCAAGCCGCCTCAAACTCAAATCGTAATCAACAGCTCAGGCCATTCATGCCTCCTGCTTCTCAATCCTCTCCTCGAGATCCTTCAACAACTGCACCAACTCTCCTTCTTCACCCTCAACCTCAAGTCCTCTCCTGACCCAATCCCTCGCCTCCTCCAGTCTTCCCATCTCAGCTAAGCACCTTCCCCTTCTCCACCAAGCCTTTGCATTTCCTACCCAGCGCGCCTCGACACTCGCATGAGCATCCACAGCGCCTTCAGCCCAGTTCTGCATTGCCATGTGCGCCTGCGCTCGGTTCGCCAGAATTCCGCTGATCTCTTCTCGCACCAGCTGAGAGGGCTCCCACATGGGTCGCTGCATGGCCATTTGGAAGCCGAGGGTGTAGTACTTGATCGCGTCGGGGTATTTGCCCTTGCGGTACTCGGCGTTGCCAGAGTCGCGAAGCTTGGTCACTTGAGCGGTGCGCTTGGGGTTGACGGGCACGGGGGGAGGGGGTGCGCCTGTGGGTGAATCGACGTTGAGGAGAGAGCGGTGGAGGGTGTTGAGGGCTTCGAGCTCGGCGTTGAGTGTGCGCGATGGTTGTTGAGAGCTAATGGCCTTGGATTGAGGGTCCATCTGGAGGGGGAGGAGATCGAAATGTGTGAGGTCCGACATTGTGGCGGTGATTTTTTGTTTTGTTTTCTTTGCGAAATGCCTTATTATGGGTTTTTGTGAACGTGGATTGTTAAAAAGAGCGACCGGTTGGGAGTGTGAGCTGGCAGTAAAAGGCTATGTGTAGCTGGGTGTACCTTATGGATTGAGGTGCTGTTCAGGACACCTCACAAAATGCTTATCTTATCAGCACATGACACCCCTCAGAGTCACCACTATTCATACCATACACGTTGATGGAAGTGTATGTAAAAAGCAGCTTAGAAGATCTTTGAATGTTTTTTATATGCTCATCCTAGGTATTGTTTTACTTATATTATCTTATTCAAGATGCGAATATGTCTGAAAAAATATGCAGTATGTCATACCGTTCCTGGTCTCATATAATGGTTGTTGAGTTACAGGGACAATTGTATATTAGCAAGCTGTCAGAACTGCTGGGCTGAAAGTACCTACCAGGCGCTATTCCTACGGCCGATATGACCTACCACAAGAGTTCTAATTTGTCCGCATGAGCGAACAAAGTTATCGGTGTACATTATCAGTTTACACAATGACATGAAGCACAGGACACTGACGTCAACTTCAAATACACATTCACATGTAAAACGAATTGATCAAACAAGAGCCTTTCCTTTTCTACTCCTATTGTGCAAATGCGAGACCCTGTCCCCGTTTGGGAAGCGTAACAAGATCACCTCCAAATCGCCATCACTCATAAAACCCGTCCGCCGAACTCTGGCGTCCTTGGATAATCAACGGGAGAAAGACACCAAGTTCCAGAACCCTTCAAACGCCCATTAACGAAAAAAACATCCCTATTCAATCATCGAAACCTCATCACAGAGCCCAAGGGTCGAAAGAGTCTCCACACACAAAGTCTCAGTCATCATCATGGTGTTGTTGATTGTCGGTCTCTTGTGCTTTAATTCCTTCTTGTGAGGGCAGTGCAAGTGTGGTTCGACGATCGGGGAGGGACTTTTTTTCATTTAGAACATTCTTTTTGGGGGGAATCGACATCTACTCCTCGAGCCACCCTTGCCATCACTCAGCAAATCAAGTAAATCCCTTTGTTGAACCGCCGCGCCATTCTAATGAAACGCACGAGAAATGATAGACGTTGCCAAGTTTACCTAGACCGGCAAGATCCCATGTCGAGGGATTTGGCCAGCTTAGTAGCCGTAGTTGGCAAGGGCCTTTGCGGTCTCCTCCTTGACAGAAGCGTTCTTCTTCGCATCAGCCAGTTGTCGGGCAGCGATCTTCTTGCGCTCGTAGAAAGCAGCGCCCTTGGCCTTTCTTCGCTCCTCCAATCTGGGTAGAGTTAGTCATGTTCAATTCACACACAGCACACCAAAACATACCGAGCAACGACGTCCTCGTACTTCCAGCCAACCTCGCTGGACAGACGACCGACAGTGCAGAACTTGCGGCCGGGCTGGAGACGGAGAACACGGAGAGCCTGGGGAACGACGACCTTCTTGGTCTTGTCGTAGGGAGGGGGGACACCCTCGAAGACCTTGAGGCGCTCGAGAGCAGCGGCACCACGGGCGGTCTTGTGGGGGATCATGCCACGGACAGCCTTGTAGAAAATTCGGGAGGGAGCGCGGAAGTGGAAGGGACCTGTATCGAGTCAATGACTGTGGTCAAGTGTGTAGGTACGGTTTCGACTCACCACCGCGAGTGGGGTTGTAACGGGTGATCTTTCGGAGGTGGGCGTGGTACTTGACTGTTGGTATAATCAGCTTGGTGTTCCTAGGAGTGGCATCGTTTTGGTGTTGACGATGCTCGGCCACAGATCGGAGTGGTGTCGTGGGGTGTACATACGCTTCGCACGGAAGAACTCGCCAGAGATGTTAAGAGCCTCACAGCGGACAATAACAATCTTCTGGCCGCTCAGGAGCTGCTTGGCGACAATGGAGGCGAGTCGGCCAAGGAGGTGGCCCTTGCCATCGATGACGACCTGTTAAACGCACACAACGGTCAGCGAAATGCATCTTCAAGACCAATATTTCCATGTGAAGCAAACGACGAGCGGCGTTCACAGCACCAGCAGACGCTGATGACTGAGATCCCAAAGCATCCCCAATCCCATGCCCAATGCTTCCCAGCTGCCCGCAGCTCGTCTTTTGCCTCAAGTCACAATATGAATTGTGAATGGATGTTGTTTCAGTCGGTACTCACAACTTGCTCGAAGCTCGACATCGTAACCGTCTTTTCTGGGGGGGAATTAAAGAAAAGGAAAGAAGGGCAGCTCAAATCCTCAAACCGGTCGGCGAAGATTTGTTATTTTGCTGTGCTGCTGGGGTTAGTCGTCCCTCGAATGTTGGGTGCAAGTGGTCGCGATAGTGATTGACGGGCGAAAAATCCAAGGACCGCTTGAGGGCTCGTTGTGCCTTCTGAGCAAACCGCGCTAGCCTATTGGGGCAAAGGCAACCTTTCACCACGAGCGACTCCTTCCCGCTTAGGTCTGTTAGCCCTAGCGGATTGAGCCGAGGAATTGCCGGCTCGCCCACTGGAAATCATGCAGTTTTTGGGCGTCGGTTCGTAGAATGGTTCGCACGTGATGATAGAGATCGGGCTGTTCCAAGACATGACACTGGCACGATCATTGGGGGTTTACATCATAAGTCATGACAGGGATCTATGCACATGGTGATACTCAATATTCCAAATTAAATGTGCCAATTTGCTCAATGCTGTCTATGGTGGTCATCATGGTCAAGGCAACGCTTGAATCTATTGTACAGCTTGTTCTATATCAAGAGCAATGGTAAGGTAGTCGAATAATGGATTATTCCCTGTAACGCCTGCACTCAAACCAGACAATCTTTTCCACTCAACATCAACGCCATCGCGTAACCGTGGGCTTAAGATTCCTTTGCAATATCAAGATCCTTCAATGTCTTTTGGACCTGTCTCACCAATTCCTTCCTTCGCGCTCTGACTTCGGGCATGCCTTCAGCCTCGACGCCGTCCAGTTTCAACATAATGTGCATCATGATGCTCTCGGAAAGTTTTCGGTGATCTTCCTCTCGCTTCTTGGGGTCTGAAGGTGGCGACGCAATGTAATCGGAGCACAAAGGCAGCCACTTAATTTGGTACTCAACGGCAAGATCATCGAGAACCTTCATGGGTCCGCTGGTTGCGCCCGACGATGTGGGTGGTGCTGGAGGTGATCTGGGGTGGTCGAAAGTAGAAGCGCTGTCTCGAGGGCTGCCTGACAAGGAGTCACCATCACTGGTGATGCCCTTCTTCTTATCGCGCTTCTTCTTGCGGCGGCGAGTCTTCCTGTCTTCTCTAGGAGCATCGACAATCACCATCTCCTCTTCTGAGCCACTGCTGACATCATTAATCTCGGGCATGACCGCCATCAATTCGCTGTTGTTCTTGACACCATAGTCTCGTACT